ACATATATAATTTCAAATATTCCTTTATTACCAAATTGTAAAAATACATATGCATTCGAAACAGTGAAGATTATTTGTGGCAAACCTAGACATATTTATTTTCAACCTGAATTTAAAGATAGTAAAAATTGTCCTATTAGTCTTAATACAGAAAGAATAATGGCACATAGCGATAAAAATTTAAAACTTATTACAGTAGTAAAGGATGAAGAAGGTAGAATTTTCGATAATATTACAAGTTTACACATTGAATGGAATTTAAAACCTTCAACTATAGGTTTTGTAGAAATGCCTTCTGGTTCTATAGAAGAGACAATTATGGATATGAATGTTATTTTACCAAAAAATTATTATCAAAATATCATTTTTAAGAAACATACTGGTGCTCTTACATTAACTGCTACAATTACAGGTTATCAAAAATATATATTAAATAAATTAAAAATAATACCTGAATGGCCACCTTTTGCAATTGAAAGTGAAAGAAAAATATATGAAACTCCTCTTATAGAAACTTCTATAGAAGTAGTTTTAGTTAATGATACTAGTATTATTCCTGATAAATTAATGGTATTAAATGATCCTACTGCAAAATATTATTTACAAGTAAGCCAAGGTTCTGGATATTATGAATTTGTATTAAATGTAGATGATATTGCAGATATTAGATATATAGAATCAACAAAAGCAATTAGTCTTACTCCAAAAAAATCTGGAATACTTTATTTATCTTTAGTAGATCTTTGTTTACCTTCTAAACCAGCTGAAGCTATAATTGAAATACAACAACTTGCAGTAATAGAAATAGAAACAGTGAATAAAATTGAAAAAGGAAAATGCATAGTAGCTGCATTGAAACTTTATGACACAAATGGTCATGTTATAAAATTACCATCTTTAAATGCTTTGGAATTTAAAGCAGAAATTGATAATGAATGTATAGAAGTTAAACAATTACCTGCTAATGAACATGGTAATTCTCCTTATGATCAATTATTATATATGATATATGGAATGGCAGAAGGAGAATCTCAATTAACTTTTATCAGTAAAGGAGGTGAAAAAGAAGTACAGAGTGAATCAGCAACTATTCAAGTCTTTCTTCCTTTGAAAGTTTCTCCAAAAAATTTAACAATTTTAGTAGGAACCATTTACCAAGTACAAACAATAGGAGGTCCATCAAATGCAGAAATTGAATTCTCTACACAAAATAATGATATTTTACATATTGATCATAATGGTATATTTGAAGGAAAATCAGTTGGCCAAACAAAAATTATTGTTAGAGCTATTGGTCTTAATGCTAAAGGCAATAAAGTTATTCATTCTGAGGATTATGCAGATATACATGTATTATATCTTGAAGGAGTGAAAATCATTGTGCCAACAAGTAGAGTAAAAGTGGGTGCAACATTTCCACTTTGGGCTTTTGGTATTCCAGAACATTTAACTCCTCTTATTATAGGTTCTATGCAATTATTATTAATTTTTACATGGTCATCTAGTGATTCTAATCTAATTACATTACATAATATGTATGAAGGTACTGGTATTAATATTAGATATCAAAATGAAGTATGTTTAAGAGCCAAAGCAATAAGTCCTGGATTAGCAACTATTTATTTAAATGTTACAATGCCATCCAATATGTTAGCTGGTTTTAAGAATGATGTAACATTCACTACATTTGTAAAAATTGAAATTTTTGAAGAATTGCGTTTAACGCATTTAGGATTACCATTTAATGCACCAGTGATATTAATGTCTCCAAACTCTATTTTAAAATTACAAACAAATCGTGACAAATATGGTTCTACAACTTATAAAGTATTATCAACTTTACATGGAAATGATTCAATGGATTCACATGCTTTAACACCAACATCTAAAACTATTTCTATTGATAAAAATGGCATCATAAAGGCTGGTGAAAATTTTGGAAAAATAGTTATTTCTATTACAAACACAGAAACATATAATTTAAAACAGGCAATAACTATTATTGTTGAAGTAAGATTTGTAAGATTATATTATTATATTAAAATGTAAATCTAATTAGAAAAATTTTAAAAATTTATATTTTAATTTATTTATAGATTAAACCTATTCATTATATGATGTTATCTCTGAAATCAATTCTACGAATTCGAAATGGAGAAGAATTAAATATGTTACCCAAAGGTATGGAATTAGATTATGTTCTTGAATATTATGATAATGTTGGAACAAAATTTCATGCTGCTGAGGTTAATGCTGAAACTATATTAAATCGAGCTGATCTTGCATCATTTATTAAAAATTCTGAAAATGTAGTTACTGTAAAATTTATTGAAAATGGAGATCTTATTGTAAAAACATATAATGAAAAATATCCTAATGCAATGTTTGATTATGTACATATGATGATTGGTGATATAGTTTTTCCTACAAAGGTAATTTAAATAATTATTTTAACTATATTAAATATTATTGTTTAATACTATAATTTTTTAATTATATATTAAATAATTATTTATAATTTAAATTTATGATACATTATAGACTACACTAACAGTGGGTGATATAGTATGCTTTTCAATGCCACTTCTATCTCCTGATGGTGATCCAGGTTATTGGCAATCTTCTGCTTCTGAAATATTAACAGTAGATCCCATTACAGGAATAGGTCGAGCAAAAAATGTTGGTTATGCAGTAGTAAAACATAGTCTTGCAACTCATATGCAAGGTGAAATAGAAGTTCATATTCAATCTATTGCAAAGGTATTGTATGGAAATTATTAAAACTTATATTAATGTCTTTTTAAATTATTATTTACATTATATTATAAATGCAGATATCAATTGTTCCATTAAGAGGTCGAAATATTACCGGAACTGAGACATTTAGCGTTCCTCTTGTACTTAAAAGTAAAGATGAACAAGTAAAAGAAAATAATGTACTATCTAGAGGATTAGGTGGTTGTAGAACATTCAATTTATTTATTTTAAATTCATTTCCCTACACATGTAATATACAATTTGTTTCATCGACTTCGTCTATCGGAGTGAAAGATCTTTTTCTTATCAAACCGCGATTTGATATTACAACTGGTATATTAATTTGATTTTATGATGCAACAGATAATATAATATATTAATTATTTTCAAACTGTTCATTATAGGTTTTTATTATTGTGATATAATTCCAATGGGTTCTCCAAATATAATTTCTAGTACACTAGAAAATCGTATTCAAATAAGTGCACAAAGTAAAGATATTGAAGCTGTACCCTTAGAAGTAACATATCTTCCTCCTGTTTATGTTGATGCCAAAGAAATTGTTTTTATTTATACTCATTCTCAAATTATTCCAACTGCAACACTTGAGATATATGGATTGCAATCTGTATTAGATCATCTTACTGTAAGTTTAACTTTTTATAAAAATTGAAATTATTTTATAATAAATTAAAAGACGTTTTATGAAATTTGAAAATATATTTATTTATATTAATCTTCTATAGATTGATGTACCAGATGGAATGACTGTAAGTGTTCGGCAATACATTTCAAAATCTACAGTGCAATATAAACTTCGTTTAATGCATAATCATGAAGAAATTCAAGGTCAAAAAGTTGTTATTGCAAATGACATTACAAAACAAAATATATCTGTAAGTAAATATATATAAAAGATAAATAACTTTATAATCATCAATTATATCAAACTTTATAATTCATACATATATATAATTGATAATTTTTTTTTGTACATGTAAGCTTTTTGTACGTGTAACAAAATATGAAAATTTCATCCCATTATCTGGAATTCATTGGGTTGATTATATGTATTTTCATCGTTACACATTTGGAACATTTGCTGTTGTTGTAATTACTTTTTTCTACAGTAAGTCTTTTTTAGATTAAAATTAAATTTTATAATTTTAATTTATTATATTTTTTAAATGTTTTCTATCTTATTTTGCAGTATGGAAAAATAAAATAGCGAATATTGATTTAAATATAAAGAATAAAGCGGTTTTTGGTATGTATATTATTTTAATAATATAATTTTTTTTACATCTAATAGTTCTAATTTTACATCTAAATAGTTATTTAATTAAAATTAATTTTTTTATAGTTGATAAATGTCCACCACAATTAAAAAAAACAAGTACTCCATGTTCACCTACTTTACACACTACAAACATATCAATTCCACGAAGTCCAGTTAGTCCAATAAGACCATTTTCTGCATTTGATCCTGTTTATGGTGATCCTCGTGGTTCTTATTCACCAACTAAACGAAATAGGTCATTGAATACTTCATAAAATATAATAGAATTTTAAGTTAAAAGTATATTGTATTTATAGAATTATGAATATTAACATAAATTTGTAAACAAATATTCAATTATCAAACTGGTGCCTTATTATCATAAATTCATTTTTGTTAGAAAATTAATTACTCTTTATGTTGTTTTCATGATTAAGATACTTTGCATATTAATGAGATATAAGAAAATGTACATTTTGTAATATATAATTTATATAATTTTATATACAGTAGAATATATACAATAAGTTGCAGTTATGCAATTATACTTTAAATATAGGCTGATTATTTTAGAAATGTAAAATATGTGATTCCTAGTCATAATAATTTATATATTAATGTCATATTTTATTCATACAATTAAAATATAGTACATATATAATACATATATAATTTATATGTATATTAGTAATATATATATAGTAATATATGTTAGGTATATAGTAATATATATATATTTCTTTATAATTTTTAAACATAACTTATCTTTTTTAGTGATTAAACGATTTTTTTTACATTTTGTTACATATATTGATGTCACAATTATGTTTAATTATTTGTACAGGATAAAATTAGATAATATTTATTAAATATAAGATTATATAAACTGTATAAATAAATGAAATAATTTTTAATCTTTGTATTTTACATATCTTAGATTAAATATAAAAATAAAAAATATAAATGTTATTTATAAATAATATTTATTATAAAAGTAAATGTATACAGAAAATAGGATAGTTAAATTTTTTACAACAATATGAAAAAAGTTTTTTGAATGATTTAAAATAAATATATGATTAATGTTTCTTTGTAGTTTTAAGCAATTTTTCATATTTGCTCTTACTAGAATACCATAATGCAAAAGGAATAGCTAATGATGGTAATGTCATTACTGCAAATGCAGCCCAGTCAACCTAAAAAATATAAATATTTTATATTTTTATCATTATATATACACAATATAATTTTATAATCAATAATAATTTACCACATGTGAAGAAAATTGTTTATCATAATCTCTAAATGATACAATTACTGCTTCACCAGGTTCACTACTTGCAGCAAATTGTAAACTAGGAGCATCTTCTTTACGTCTATATAAAACTTCTGCTGATGTGAAATTAAAGTATCCAAATTTACGTGGCCTCACAACAACTGTATGACTAACATTTGTATAAGGTGGAACACGATCAATTCTTGCATTTAATTCTCCACTAACATGAGTAAAATGATCAGGATGAAAAGAATTATCTGTGATTTCAACTTCTAAAGCAGCTGCACTTCCAATATTATAAACTGTATACTACAAGTAATAAATTTTTTATTAAAATAAAGAAATTATGCATAAATTAATATTAATATATAAATTTATACATTTTAATACTTACTTTGATTACAATATCCATATTTTCTACAAGATATTTATTAAGTAATTGTTTAGATATTAATAATCTTGCAGTTTCTTCTTCTTCTTCTGCATATGTAGTAAAAACAAAAGCAGCAAATGCTGCAAATATTATGTACCACCTCATGCTAAAAATTATATTATTTATAAAAATAAAATTATGTACCATTTTTAATTTATTAGGATAATATAATTAAAATTTTATATATAAGTATATAATAATAAATTCAATTTTTATAAAATTTATTAATATAATTTATAAATAGTTTAGTTTATTTATAAAATGCTAATCTATATTATTTGAAAAATTTAAATATTATATATGATTAAAAATTATAATTTTTATGTTATATATTTTAACAATAAATTATTTTAATAATTTTAATAATATAATCATTTATTGTTAAAATATATAACATAAAAATTATAATTTTTTTATATATTAAAGAAAATAAGAATAAAGAAAATTACATAAATGTAATATTTTAATTATTTATGAATATCTTTTTACCTTTTTTCACGATTGATTTCGTGTCACTTACGACAACGAAATAATTATTTCATAAGAAGAACAATATACATTTGAGAGAAGTGCCAACAGCACATACTTTCATGCCACGTTTCGTCAAAGAAAAACAGAAATTTGCTGGCAATTAATTTCCGGTAACGGATGTTTAATAAAATGGCGGTGAAAACAAATTAACGTTCGTTTAGTATATATAAAATTTTTTCATAGAGGAAAAATATTTCAATAATTTATATATAATATTTATATATAATATTGTATATCATATATATAATTAAAAA